GCCCCCAGAGATTTAAAAATTTAATCATAATAAATATTTTGTAGATAAAAATCTAATATATATATTAGGACATACCTAGGACAGTAAGATAAGAAAATTATAGGAATTTGGCATGAAGTAGCTTCTATATAGAATTAAATTCACTTGAGGGGGGGGGGGGGCTCAAAACAAACTAAATATCAAACAAGGCAAAATAAATATAACTGATGTTAGGAGGACCCGCCCAACCCTAAAAAAATATATTTAATAAAAAAAAAAAAAAATGCTTACACTCAAGATACTCCATCAATTGCTTAAACCACCACCACACTTAATCTCAGATCCCCATTAGTATAAATGTACTCAGAAAATTAATTCCAAGAAGAGTGCATTGACAAACACATGTCAAATTACATATATAAAGGTGGTATATCTGTCGGTTTGCTGGCCTTTTCATATATTAGGAATCCTTTTATCTTAAACTGGATTCAAGTTTGTAAGTCAACATCTTTTGTGAAACGTTCATTAGTTAAAATTCCCAGATTTGCTCAATGAAAATCATTGGTGTAAAATGAAATCTATTAGTCATGTGATGCATGATTTCATGGCATTCAGTGTGTGGAATTACTCAGACTTGACAGTAACTTTTATAGATCTGGTTTACTCTTCCAAATAAAATCCTGAATTGCATCAGATTTCTTCAAGTTTCAATATAATGTTTAAGATAAGTTTGAATTTGTTTAGTGGCATATAAACCTCTATGATAATGCAGAAATCTAAATATTTTGTATATAATTTTATACTTTCAGGGCAATGTAGGTGTTTTTTTTTTTTTTAAGACATAGTAAATAACATGTATTGTTGATTTTTGTTTGCCTGTAGCTAGGATCCTAACAGGTGCTACTACCCCGGGTCAGGGTGGGCCTAAGAATACCTTATTTCAGAGATATAGACAGATGTTCCTAGTCCAATATTAAAGTCTTTGCACTTGCCTGTACTTTCTGTAGCCCCATAGAAACATAGCATTAAAGTTACCTTATTTCACTGCTTATAAGACACACCAATGCATTAGAACCCCCTTCTCCAATTTTACCCATTGTATAGCATATTTCATCATGAAAACCTGACTAATAATAAATTCATCAAATACCAAACGATGCCAAATTTATGAAAACAATTTAGAATGTAATAATTAGAAGAGAAGTTAGTGCAATAACACCACTGAAAATTGACCTTATTGCAGCCTGAAATACTAATTGTGGCAAATTCATCACAAACTAGGATGGAACACTAATTTTAAATTAGTCCTGTAAATTTGAATATCAAAATACAGTTAAGTTTGATTTATGTGTAGATAAAAACATACAAGTGTACTTACCGTACTGCTGAATCTTCATTACTGGTAATTTTGACAAGTTTATCCCAACTGCAGAAATAGCTTCTGTTAAAATGTTTATTTAATTTTGAAACACTACACCTGTTTTACTTTCAAGGGATCAGAATTGAATGTAACTGGGGAGCTAACTATCACCCAAAACATAACATCCTTCGCCGAACTTTGATTTATATTTATAGAATGCAGGAGATATATATATATATATATATATATATATATATATATATATATATATATATATATATATATATATATATTTTTTTTTTTTTTTTTTTTTTTTTGAGATATTTTATAGGGAAAAAAAATGCCTGTTATAAGCAAAACAAAATATGGTAAGATCTTTGAGGTTTTTCCTTTGGGTAATTTGCTTTTTAAGCCACATACTGAATATGTCATAAAAATTTGCCAAATAGTTATATTTAGGTGTAAATGTATATGCTTAATTAAAAAATAACAAAGAAATTTTGATAAAATTTACCATTTTGGTTCTATCAACAATAGAAGTTCAAACTCATTTGCGTCTTGGCAGTCATTACTGGCGTTGTTTGCAAATATTTGCTGCAGTTTTGATTATTGTGCACACAACGAGTGTTCAGTTGCGCAGTAATTGAATCGAGTAAGAACCGTAAAAAGGCCATTAACAATGTAATCTTCTGCACAAATCTAATCGGCAGCGAGTATGCAAACAACGCTAGTAATGTCTGCCATGTCATAACATGAATGAGTCCGAACTTTTATTGTTGATAACTCCTATACAGTAGATTTTATCAAAATTTCTTTATTTTCGAATTAAGCATGTAAATTTAAACCTATATATAACTATTTGGCAAATTTTTATTATATATTTAGTGTGAGGCTTAAAATGCAAATTACCCTTTCCTTCGTTTGAAAGAGTAATTTTTTTTTTTTTTTTTAAAGGGTGGGGTGGTATTTGATTTGCTCTAAGAGTAGGTTTTTTTGGGTTTTTTTCTCTTCTTCATTGATCCTAAAATGAACTTTTGTTTGCAAATTTTTTTCCAAAAAGTCTCTAAAACATTATCAGGGTTTATTTCCTTTGATGCCTACTGTTCCAAAAAAAAAAAAAAATATCTTCTTGCTTTCAATGAGTGACAGCATTTTATTTATTATTTTAAATAATCATTAACTGTAACGACATAAATTCTAATTATCTTCATTACTTTTGAAAAGATATTTGCAAAGTCCTTCATCACTCAATCTTCTTTCCCATCTTGAGGAAGAAGAAAAAAAATTGAGGTTAGCCTTGAACTAAATAGCTTCCAGAGTGATCGTTTGGACAAAGGCAGGAATGCATATTTGGTGCCCTGACTCGTAGAATTGAAGTTCTATCAATTGCAGAAAAATAAAAAAATTTTTACATTACTGAACATTCTGTCACTTTTAACTGAGGATAGAAATAAAGATTTATCTTTTCTTTTCAAACCCAAGGATTTTGATTGGTTCAGTTACAGCCTCAACATTTTAAACTAACCAATCATATCCTACTCTTTCACATCATAATTCTTTAAAATTATCTATTAGGCAAAAAGAAAGCAACCTCACGAAAGTAAGTGTATTAATTAACTGAACAGACAGTTTCCAGTCTAAATAAGTTGATTCCCTTAAAACATTGGGCCCTTTTAATGTATGAAGAGATTAATAGATCTTATAATAACTTGCCAAAATGCTATCTTTCCCATATTCAAGGTCACATTCCAATTTTGACGATTATAATAGAATAAATAAAATAAAAGAAAAAAGCTCCAAAAAGGCTGAAAATTATTCTTATTAATTTAAGTAACATCTTGAAAGACAAGAAATACAATATCTAGTAAATATGTCATTTAAAACTGGTATGTATAAATAATTTGATAATTTTTTGTTTTGAAAAAAATTGTGGGCAGAAGTAACGAGGTATAAAAAAATAAATTATGCCAATGCCATGTTTTTTTTTTTTTTTGTTGTTGCTTTTGTGATTGCTTCAATCATACAGATGTTGTAATGTGTGGTGTCATTTGATGCACTGAATTTTATTTTTTTTCTAAGTCCTCTCTTTTTCCCAGATTTTTTTTTTTTAAGAAACACAGCAGAACTGCTTCCCACCAAAGCAACATTCCTATTCTCACCAATAATATAAGAATGAATTCTTGTTTTTTTTTTGTTTTTTAATATGTATATATTTTTTCTTTTTATTTATTTACAAAAAAAAAAAAAAACACCTACATAGACCTTAACCAGACATAGATATACTATACAATATCTGATATGTTAGAATTAAAAGTTACAAAAATGCAACTTTTCCGGTAAAATTACCATTATTTGATGGCATATAACTTGCTTTCTTTCTCCAAAATGGCAAAAAAAAAAATATTTAAGTTCCTATATGCGAAATTAAGGTATCTAGTAGGTTAATGTTTACTTGAATGCCATTGAGTCCCGGTACTTCTCAGTCAGTTATGTGCCATGCATGATACACGCTTAGGTGATTATGTATCTTTTGATACATGACTGACGAAGCAGTAGGTTGCCATTTTTTTATGCAGTAGACCAGTTGCCATCTAAGACTATAGAACCTGGTCTGTCCTGCTATTTGCCCATAGCTGGGGGGAGAAGAGGAGGATTCATACCTTTCCCAAGCATATTAGCAAGTAAGTGAATATAATGGATTTGACCGGAATTCAAACTCAGCTCTCTGATTCCTCAATCCAAGACGCTATCCATTATACGTTGCCTAATTCCATAATGTTAAATGTAAATAAGGGAAGGTTTTATATCGAAAAGTGAGGTATCTGGTAAGCCAACATTTATTCCAGATGCAATAGACTTCTAATACTTATACCTAGCCTCTTTCCATAATACTGTAATATTAAATGTAAATAGCAGAGGCATTTATATGCCAAGTTGAGCTGTATGGTATGCTAATGTCTACCCAGTTGTCATCAACTATCAGTGTTTATACTTAATCTAACTCCATACTACTATAGTATTAAATATAAATAGTGGTATTATCTTGTATGGCCTTAAATCTAACGACTGTTAAAAGCAACTAAGAAACTTTTTCATTTCATTTATATTTGAAATTTGTCTTTCATGGCTAAGTTTTTTAGGTTTTTGTTTTTTTTTTGAAAAAAAAAAAAAATCTAACCTTAATTTTTGGTTGAAATCTGTGTAGACATCTTAGATAAAAAAAACATTAAAATATGTACACATACAAATTTTATAGATTGATTCATAAATTGTATATTTTACCGATTTTTTTCCCTTGTGAATTTTTTTTTTTTTTTTTAGCTGATTGCTGAAACATAAAACATTTAAACATATGATTTAAAACAATAAAATATAATTTTTTTAGCTCATTGCTAAAACATTAAAATATGCGTGTACACACACACACAATTTTATTTTGATTCTTATATTGTATATTTTACCTACTTTGTCACTTTGAAATTTTTTTTAGCTGATTGCTTAAAGTGACTTTTGTGCACTTGATTTCTCTAACTCCTTCCTATCCCTCAAATGTGAACACACACACACACACATCTATTTTATAATATAAAACACAATGTGACTCTATATATTTACTGGTTATGCATACTTATCTCCTCTATTTGAAGGTTTACAACAATATAGCGTTGAAACACTGGTTCTCATCCGATCACCAAAGTTAAGCAATGTCAAACTTGGTCAGTACCTAGATGGGTGACTACTTGGTAGGACCAGATGCTTGGATGAGTGGGTGGTGTAATGGATAACAAATTGGAATTTAAAATCAGAGAGGCGAGTTTAATTCCAGCTGGGTACATAATATACACCTATGCACAAATACCCTTGGGGAAAGGTATGAATCCACCTCTTCTCCCCCCCCCCAGATATGGATTAATTAGTAGGACTTGTATCAGTAAATCATTATTATCTCTTAAAAAAATCCTTACAATCTAAAAATATTTTCTGGCTTTAAATAACCTGCAAAAGTATGATAAAGCTGTAAAAATCAATTGCTTAAACCCCTATTCGAAATAATGAGATATTCTGTTAAGGTAATATAGGGTATTACTTATTACTAATAAGCAATCATGCCTTGTATTAACATAACATTGGGATATCCAATTACTAAGTAGGAAAGAACAGGTAATGCATTACTTTAGGTACCGCTATTAATTTGCTGAGAAAAGAGCATACCATGGTGAAAAATGCGCCAAATAAAAACAAAGTTTTATTGTCAAAATCTTTGTTATTAAGAGGAAAGATCAAAGTATTCTTAATTAAATTTTTAAATTCTTTCTAGCACGTTTGAAATTTTGGTTAAAAATCTTGTTTTTCTTGTGTGAACAGAGCCAAAGATTACTATAGGAAATTTTAACATCTTTTTTGCAGTAAAAAAATATTGATTTGAAAATTCTTGTAAAAAAAATCAAATATTCACAAATGAATGAAATAATTATCAAATATTTTTGTGTTTTTTAGAAAATCTTGTTAAAAAAAATATAAAATTTTTTTACAATCTGTTACCTCCACTTAATTTTCTGAAATTTCAAGAAACATTTCTAAAATTCAATAAAATATTAAAATAAAGAGAATATTTTTACTAAATTTTTAATATTACCGAGTACTTAAAAATTATATAAAAAGGCGCTCATGTTATTTTCTTCAATTATGTTTTACAGACAAAGTCCTTGTAGAACAACATTAGATCTGGCAACACCATAAATAAATGGCTACTGTTGGGTTAAAAAAATGCACTTCTGCAATATTTAAAACTTAAAGTAAATAATATTTGTTTCAAATCAGATTATTTATTATTTAAATAATAAATATTCTTTAAATAAAGTTTCAGGAAAGTATATTTTATTTTTTAATAAAGAGAATTACATTCTGATAAGACAGATCGCTAAAATCAAAATTTATTGAAAATATTAAATTTAATCTATTAGTTTGAAATTAAGATTAAAATAAAAGCTTCAAGAAAGATTTCTTTTTTAAAAATTAATTTTAAGCCTTAGGTATAGTGAATCTGTAGAGGTATCTACATTACTTTATATTGCTTTGTATTTTTCCTCTTACATGTGGCAATAGAGTTCATTGTATAGGTAAAAATCATAGATTACACATGTAGAAAATATGACCAAAGCAACTGTGTACTTAATCAAATATGGCCACCATTTTATTGACTTTTTGGATATTATTATTGTTAATGATTTTAAAAGCAAATTTTTTTTTCTCTAGTATAATTTATTGTATACATAAAACTCTTCACTTTTTTTTTTTTTTTAATTATTTCACCCCAAGCAAGGCAATAAAGTCACTACGACACGAGGGGTGGGGGTTACTGAGTGTTAAAGAATATGAGAAAAAAACTTGAGAGAAAACAAAAAAAAAAAAACAGGAATTAAGACAAAAGATAACAACTGACATTGTATTCAAACTTTTGAAGATCAAAATTGACAGGAAAGCAAGAAGCCAGAAAAGAGTTCCACAAGCGAGAAGTGCAATAGAAGAAACTTAGTTACATCTAACCATTTCAACTGTAAAATGATATGACTTTGCAGCCAAACTAGTACTTTGCTTAAATTCATTAAGTTTAGGTACCATAGAGGAACATTCATCAGAAGAGTTACCATGAAAGTATTTATAGAGACGGTGAGAAAAGAAACTGTTAGCATTGAACTTACAGTTACTTCTAGCCATTTCAACCATAAAATGATGAGACCTTGCTGCCAATCTAGTACTGCACTTAAATTCATAAAGTCTAGGTACCATAGAGGAAAGTTCATCAGAACAGTTACCATGAAAGTATGTAAGCACAGGGAAGCTGTTACACCAGTGGGAAAGGAACTGAAGCCAAGATGTCAGGTCAGGACCAATAACATTGCAGATTCTTCTTTGGATTTTATCAAGAATCTTTAAATATATAGCAGGAACACCAAACCATGTGTAGTAGCAATATTCAAAGCAAGGACGAATGGTAGACTTATAGATATGTAAGATAGATTCTGGTAAGAAAAATTGTCTAACCTGACATAGTGAACAAACTTCCTTAGCTGCAGACTTACAACTTGATTCAATATACTCTTTCCATTTCATGTCAGCTGAAAATGTTGGTCTGAGTAAGCGCAATGAGTCATTCTACTAGAAGTTAGCATCAGCCATGCTGGTGGAATGTAAAAAGGGTTCACTCAGATGATTAAATGAGAGCAGTTTCTTTTTTGAGATGTTAAAATTAACATTACTTGCATAAAAATATACAACTGACGTAACTACTTGAATATTTCAACAATTTTCCTTTTTTATTACTATATTTTTAAATTAGCATTTAAATATAATGAAGAAAAATGACCTATATTAGATGTGTACAAAAATTCATGGCACTGCGGGTGTGCAGGTGGTGCCATGGGTATTGACAAGAAATGAGAAATCGGACTTGAGTTCGAATTCCAGTCAAGCTCATTACATTCACTTACACACAGATACCCTTGGAAAGGTCACACACCCCCACCCAAGTTTACAGCCATACCATGTCAAAACTCTGCTTAACTTTGTTGATCATATGAGAACCAATGTTGAGCCTGGTCAGTACCTAGATGGGTGACCACTTGGAAATACCAGGTGCTGTAAGCTTGGATGTGCAGATGGTGTGATGGATAACTGCTCAGAATTGGAAAATGGAGAACCAAGTTCTCATATGATCAACAAAATTAAGCAATGTTGAGCCTGCACCTTGTGAGTTATCTTTAATGATATATATATATATATATATATATATATATATATATATATATATATATATATATATATTAAAGAAAAAACAGACCACTTTAAGGTTCCATTGTAATAATTTATTTCACCAGAGCCCTTTTAAAATATGATTAATATAAGTAAAAGTTTGTCATTTAGCTGATTAATGTTACCTTCAGCATCCCAACTCCAGAGTTTTGTAGGTGGACTTGTCTGGCCATGCTTCAGAACCATAACAAAGATAGTATGAAACCAGAAATGCTGTCATTCGGTATAAGTCTGAAGGAAAAGGTGGTGGAGAATAAGACATCAATCAGCTAAGTGACAAATTTTATATTTGTATTAATCCTATATATATATATATATATCTCACACATTGAGTGCTGATGTTAATAGTCTCTGCTCAACACCTAAAGAAACTCAGTTGTGTTACCAGTGAGGAATAATATATTATATATATATATATATATGCTAAAATGTTTGAAGCCCAACTAAAAAAACAAAAGAAATATTTTGGTTAAATTTTTTAGAAGTGGGTTACACGAAGAAGAGGGTGGTGAAAAATTTTCAGCCTAACCCGCTTCTCAAAATCAAAATTTATATTGGGATCTTTTCTTGGTCAGAGTGAGAACTTTTTAGCACTTCTTCGTATATGAGTGTGTTTATAAGTAAATGGATAATGACTGAGTTTCACAGACATTAAACCGCTATTCATGGGCAAGACAAAACAACTAATTTTATTAACAGCTATTATATCAATTTTAAAATACATTACATTATATATGTGTGTGGTCACCTTAACATCAATGAGTCTGTCATCAAACTACCATATATACTTGAGGATAGGTTACACTTTTTTTCACCAAAATTTCAATAAAAGTCACGGGTGTAGTCTATCCACTCGACATCATAGAGAATCTGAAATAGACTGTGGCATATCTGTAGTCCAGGCGAGTGCCCTGGGCTTAAGCATAAGTGAGAGCAAAGGAGAAAATGATTTTTTTTTTACACAATCGCTTATTCCATGTCACTCATCGAATAAAAGCGATCAATCTGCTCTGATTGATATTTACCATTTATTATCTGATTTACGATGAGAGACTATCATTTCCAAGTGATTTTAGGTCTGATGTGATTACCGGTATCCAAATTTTTGTCTAAACAGAGCAGCCCCACACTTGATAAGTAAATAACCCGCAATTACAACCAATCACTTTTCTTATGTTTTAATATGTGTAAGGAAAGTTTTGAAAGAATGGTGAATATTTAACAAATATTAGTTATATTTACATTAAAAATGGGCCATGTAACTCCCCAGATTATAGTGCAACCTATCTGTGAGTCAACTGCAAATACCCACTTTGACAACTGCAAACTAAGGATACGACCTATCTACTGGTGTGACCAATACATGAGTATATACGGTAGTTTCACTGACCATTGCGACTTTAGTGAGTTTGACTAAGTTCTCCTCTGTTATGATTCCACGTTTTCCTAAACTAAGCTTAGCAAGTACTTGTTTGTGTGTGGGTGTATACACACAATCAAACCCAGACACGCACCAATGCACCTATACATATAAATGCACTAATGAAAACACTCCTGGCATACACATTGCATATGTGCATGTATACATATCTACATTTGCTTATCAACGCTTATATGAATGCATGTGAGTGATAAATATATGATCAATATACGCACACACATACGCAGACAATTTGTATACATTTCTTGTCTCTTCATCCTTATTGATATTTTGTGTACGCACACACATGCTACAAGCAATGATTATACACTACTAAAACTCTGCATATACATTTACATACGGAATTTGAAATACTAGAAAACAACACATCCAAAGAAATTTTCCTAAGAAAAACAAAGTCAAAACTATGGATTTTTGTCCGCTTCTTTTTTTAACGCCTTCACGTGATTCTTCCATGTTATTTTTTTTGCCTTTGATCCTTTTACCACTAGATTTTTTTTTCT